TGTCTTTTTAAAGAAAGAGCCAACAACTATGTGGCAAACACAGCGTATATCCTCCTGTTTCCGATCCACAACGCGGCACTCATTTGTCAACCTCGAAAGGAAGCAACGCAAGTGACCCCGACCAGAACCTCTCCTTTGTGAATCTGACGCGTTATCGATTGAGCAACCGTGGTCTGAAGGGACGTGTGGTAAATTCCTTGCTCAGCGGAATTCATCGTTAAGACAAAGATTACCCTCCGCCGGAATCGAACCTCGTACCTCCGAAGTTCGAAGGCGACCTCATAGGTCCTGCGCCATCACAAAGGATACACGAACCTGTTCTTCTGCAAAATGATGAACACCCTTCTCGAGCGTACAACGATAGCATGCTTGCGACAAGGAAGCGAAGTAAAGTCAACACCGAAGACAGCAAGAACAATGTGATAACAAACGTCGGTTGGTCTATGATGGCGAGGTGGCCGCCCTGGCTACTGGGCATCCGAGTTTCCGGCTGGGTCGCTTAGTCGTTTCTCCATCGGCGAAGGCTTGAATCACGCTTCGAGTCGACAAACATCTCTAGCGTCTTTGACACCGACTCGTCAATGTCACATGTCTGTTTGCCAGCTGACGTCGACATTTTATGTTACGAAAACGTATATCCTTATGAATTCATTCACAATGGTCAGCGTTGATGTTCATAAAATAAAACAGGTGCTATCAGCGTTTATAGTAAATGAGCTTCTTTTTAAATCAACAACTTTTTCGTCATGAGACTTTCGACGATGATCCCATGATGAAGCTTCACCTTCAGTCCAACTCCGCGCAGCGCTTTCGATTATCACTTACGGTAGAAACGATGCTTAACGTTGACAGACGAATGCTCATTCACTGGTTCCATCGTCTGATTTTCCATTTTCATGTTTGAACCTATTTTCTTGCAGCAAGAACGAAAGATTTCCTCAAATATCTGCATCCGAGGCGAGGTGATCGAGTATGATTAAAGTAAGGACCACATTACAAAGAGAGGTACGAAGTACAATGGCGTTCTTCTTGCTGGTTGCCAGCGAAGCAGTGACAATCAGAAAATGATAGATCTCATTATAACTGTGAAGCGTATTATAATCAAATTACCAGACAGCAAACACGGTATTCTACTGGTATTCAGATTCGATATACGGTATTCAGAGCGTCTGTCGCCTACGAGATAGAAAGAAGGATAGTCATAAATTCTTAAAGAACAAGTCCGGTATCTTACTACCAAGGGTGAAGCGGCTGTGATGTTTCGGCGCAGCTGATTGGGTGAAGACCGCTGGTTTGGTGTCATTACTCTGTCCTGCGGTCTCCGCATTGAATCTGTATAACTGGATAGTTATCAGGTGCATGAAATGTATGATTCAGCCAGTCAAGTAATATTTCAATTGGTAGCTCTTTGTGACTGAAGTACGATGACGTTGCCAAACTGCGAATGTGGATGATTTTTATTCTATTTTATGTTTCTACCGTCGTGATTGCGCGTGGTCGCTAAGTCAGCGTACAGTCACATGACTAGGAATCGGAGTATATATAATTGCAGGGGACATTTGTATTAATTACTTGATTTAATTCCTCACGTTATACATCGCTCGAGAGGTGTATGCGAACAGAACATAAAACTTTCTCTAGTTAGTCAGCCAGTTTCCGTGCCGCCGATCCTTTTGGATCACGGTGACAGACGCGTCAGACAATGTCTCCAACATTCCCAATCCTGTGCAAGCATTTGAGCTTCGGCAAGAGATAACCCGACTCTGGAGCAGAATCTCTTTTACACTTGCCCCATTTTATCCTTGGCCATCACCATTGTTTTCACTAATAAATTTGGGTTACTGTACTGTTTAAGCTCTGTTAACTTCAGATGACGATAACCGAACAACAACAATATAAAACAGGTATTGAGCAGTAGCTCGAAGTTATTCGTTTTCAATTCCTTATAAACACTGATCATTACCTATGATAATAAACTCTTGACATTGGTCGAAGTAGTGCAATCACGAATACAAGCGACAGAAATATCTTTTCTTCGAACGATTGTTGGTGTTGTGAGGCTCGACGAGGTTCGACAGTGACAGTTCGAGGTTCCCTCGATTTTAAGCCGCTCCTTCTCCAAGTTAATAGATCAACACTGTGATGATCATGAGATCATGACCGTAAAGACGAATTTCGTAGGGCAGACGGGGTGCATCAGTTATATGAAAGATATTGTTCCAAATGGTGTTGTGCCTTGGCAACCAGTCTATTGAGTATTTGCAACTTGGAAAGAACCTAGACAATTGGAAAATCTTCCTTGAGCAGGTTCCTCCATATCCTTTTCAACCGAAAAGGAATAGCGGACTTTCAAAATGAATGAATAAATTATTCTTAGAGGTGGATCTCTATTAATTGTTGACGTTGGCGTTCACGCACAAGGTGGTTTAATGGAAGGCCCTACATTTTTTGCATTGAAGAGCACAGCTACAACAACAATCGTTGAATGATCGTTCGTCGTAGTTA